AGCATCTTTACTCCAGTCTTCAGTGTCACATGATCCTTCAGAAATCATTCTAATATGCTGATTTGCTGCTAAAAAAACATTTATTAATATTAATAAAGAGACATTAAAAATCTTACTGTTCAAAAACTTTTGATTGGTAGTGTATATTTGTATGTAATATAGGTTTGTTAAATCTAGTTTATTTGAGCCATGTTAAGATAAATAACATTCTGTGCTAACAACACATTGAAATGGGGTGTTCACTATGCAATTGTCTACACAATGCAAGGCTGTCTAATTCTAAACTTTAAAATATACATTTATTTATTTTTTTTTTTTAATTGCACATTTACATTAAACTGAAGGAAATTATAAATTTACATGCTTAAGGATTATTTCAACCAAACATGAAGTGTGCCTGTGTGGAAAGTGACTGTGCATGGTCCTTCTTGGGTCTTTCACAAAAAAGAATTAAAATAGGCCCTATATAATATGCACTGTTGCTTAGTATTAAAATTATAGCTTCAGATGCATGATATTTGTAGGGCCCTATGGAATCCGTTTTATTTTCCCAAAATTAGCCTAAGTTTTATTTTTTCCAAAATCTTGTTTTCAGTTTAATTTTTCTGGATTCAGTTTTTTTTTTTTTTTCGTTTGAATTTTTCGGGGATGATTATATAAAATTTGAACAAAAACATGTCTAATTAATTAAAATCATGAAACTTGTTTAATTTAACAGCAATTTAGGCCTATTAAAAGTTTATCAAAAATTACATTCTTATAGCCCAAATTCTGCGCTTTCTTTTTTTTTCTGTATTCCATTTTAATGGTTTAATCAAAAACATATCTAATTAATTGAATTCATAAAAACAACTTAATTTATAAATTTTTATACAATAATAGGGCCCTATGAAATTAAAATTTTATTTACTTATTTTTTTAGAAATTCTGTGTTGTGTATTTTAATTTTTCTGGTAGTCAAATGAAGGCGAAAACATTAATCTATCTTTTATTCCAATGAAAATTAAACAAACCCTTTAATTTTTGTACATTCAAAATGCTACACAACAGAAGTTTACTGTGTAACGAGCAATGTCACGGAATTCGTCAAATATTGAATGAATAAATCAAATGCAATTCAGTACACTTCAATCAAACCGCGATATGGACTAGTGTATGTGAATATTAAATGG